CCTCGTGGAGGATTACAGCTTTTGCTGACTAGGATGCAAAGAAGCTGTGCCTGTGAGAACATGCTGGTCATGGGATGTGGTGAACGAGGTTATTGTTTCTTTGCTGTCCAGAGCCTCTTTCAGGGCAACCCTTTGTTCCCTCTCCCAGAACTGTCCTGAGGTCACTTTTCATCATGCCTCTTGTGATGAATAAAATTTGCATATTTAGAAACTGTTTGCAGTCTGATTTCCTCTCTTTCCCCTGCCACCGCCCACCAGTCCTCCTCTTCACTTGTCTACTCTGCTGCTCTCATTACAGTGACACGCAGCTCCTTTTCTCCCCTCATATGCTGGCTTTTCTTTCATTGTGCCTATACTTCCCCCACCATCTCAGACACCCCCCCCCCCCCCCCCCCACCCCCCCCACCCCCAAAATGCTCCACATCTTGGCCACTTTCTACCTTGTCTGCTGCAGCCTTTTCTCATTGCCTTCCCCTCCCCTGCTGTTCTCCCCCCTCCCCCTCAAATTCCAGTTCTTGGTCCTGCTTGCACCCCAGTTTTCACATCCTACTCACATGGGGAGTTAATGTGAAATAGTGCTTGTCCTTTAAATTCACACCCAGGCTTACTTTGCAAGAGAAACTGGAATGATTAAAACAAAACAGTATGGCACAAAACAAATGGATTCAAAACTGGCTAACGGACAGATCTCAGAATTGTAAATGAGGAACCTTCCCTGAGCGCCTGTGTGTGTATAGTGGGACCCTGCAGGGATCAGTTCTTGGCCTTGCACTATTTCACATTTTTATCAGCGAGCTGGAAGAAAACCAAAAAGTATTACCCATAAAGTTTGCAGATTGCCACAGAGTGTGTGTGTGTGGGGGGGTAAATCACGAAGGGGACAGGTTCCTGACAGAGAGCAGTCTGAGTCGCTTGGTGAGCTGGGCGCAAGCAAACAATTTATGGTTTAATATGGTCAAATGCAGAGTTATGAATCTAGAAACAAAGAATGTAGGCCACACTTGCAGGATCGGGCACTCTAGCGTGGGAAGCAGGGACTCTTAAAAAAAAGACTTGTGGGACTGGTGGATAATCAGCTGAACCTGAGCTCCCAGGGCAATGCTGTGGCCAAAAGGGCTAATGCAAGCCTTGGATGCATAAACGAGAATATCCAGGAAGAATAGGGAGGTTATGTTACCTCTGTAGTTGGCTGTGGCATGACCATTGCTGGACACTATTGTGTTCAGAGAATGATTAAAGGACTGGAAAACAAGCTGTACAGTGACAGAGTGAGCTCCTGGGGTCGATTTTGCTTTGCAAAGGGAAGGGGTGTCTTGCTCATAGTCTATAGGTACCTATGTGGAGAACAGAAGTGTGATACAGGAGGGCTCTTCATTGTGGTGAACAAAGGCATAAATGCAATGCACAGACAATCCAGGAAGTTTTTAAAGAGTGTTGGGGACAACTTTCTGGTGCAAGTGCTGGAGGAACCAACTAGGGGCTGTGCTCCTCTTGACCTGCTGCTTACAAACAGGGAAGAATTGGTAGGGGAAGTAGAAGTGGATGGCAACCTAGGCAGCAGTGACCATGAGATGGTTGAGTTCAGGATCCTGACAAAAGGAAGAAAGGAGAGTAGCAAAATACAGACCCTGGACTTCAGAAAACTAGACTTTGACTCCCTTAGGGAACTGATGGGCAGGATCCCCTGGGAGGCTGTTATGAGTGGGAAAGGAGTCCAGGAGAGCTGGGTGTATTTTAAAGAAGCCTTATTGAGGGTGCAGGAACAAACCATCCTGAAGTGCAGAAAGAATAGCAAATATGGCAGGTGACCAGCTTGGCTTAACAGTAAAATCTTTGGTGAACTTAAACTCAAAAAGGGAGCTTACAAGAAGTAGAAATTTTGACAGATGACTAGGGAGGAGTATGAAAATATTGCTAGAGCATGCACGGGTGTAATCAGGAAGGCCAAGGCACAATTGGAGTTGCAGCTAGCAAGGGATGTGAAGGGTAACAAGAAGGTCAGGGAAAGTGTGGGACCCTTACTGAATGGGGGAGGCAACCTAGTGACACATGATGTGGAAAAAGCTGAAGTACTCAATGCTTTTTTTGCCTCGGTCTTCACAGACAAGATCAGCTCTCAGACTGCTGCACTGGGCAACACAGTATGGGGAGGAGGTGAGCAGCCCTCAGTGGTGAAAGAACAGGTTAAGGACTATTTAGAAAAACTGGACATGCACAAGATCTGCACCATGGGTCCAGATCTAATGCATCCAAGGGTGCTGAGGGAGTTGGCTGATGTGATTGCAGAGCCATTGGCCATTATCTTTGAAAATTCGTGGCGATCGTGGGAGGTCCCGGACGATTGGAAAAAGGCAAATATAGTGCCCATATTTAAAAAAGGGAAGAAAGAGAACCCGGGGAACTACAGCCTCACTTCAGTTCCCGGCAAAATCATGGAGCAGGTCCTCCGGGAATCCATTTTGAAGCACTTGGAGGAGAGGAAGGTGATCAGGAACAGCCAACATGGATTCACCAAGGGCAAATCATGCCTGACCAACCTGATTGCCTTCTGTGATGAGATAACTGGCACTGTGGATATGGGGAAAGCAATGGATGTGATATATCTTGACTTTAGCAGAGCTTTTGATATAGTCTACCACGGTCTTGCCAGCAAGTTAAAGAAGTATGGATTGGATGAATGGACTATAAATTGGATAGAAAGCTGGCTAGATTGTCAGGCTCAGTGGGCAGTGATCAATGGCTTGATGTCTAGTTGGCAGCCGGTATCAAGTGGAGTGCCCCAACGGTCGGTCCTGGGGCCGGTTTTGTTCAACATCTTGATTAATGATCTGGATGATGGGATTAATTGCACCCTCAGCAAGTTCACAGATGACACTAAGCAGTGTGTCCTTGTTGCCAAGAAGGTCAACAGCATATTGGGCTGTATTAGTAGGAGCATTGCCCACAGATTGAAGGAAGTGATTATTCCCCTCTATTCGGCACTTGTGAGGCCACACCCAGAGTATTGTGTCCAGTTTTGGTCCCCCAACTACAGAAGGGATGTGGACAAATTGGAGAGAGTTCAGTGGAGGGCAACAAAAATGATTAGGGGGCTAGGGCACATGACTTACGAGAAGAGGCTGAGGGAACTGGGGTTATTTAGTCTGCAGAAGAGAAGAATGAGGGAGGATTTGATAGCTGCTTTCAACTACCTGAAAGGGGGTTCCAAAGAGGTTGGATCTAGACTGTTCTCAGTGGTAGCGGATGACAGAACAAGCAGTAATGGTCTCAAGTTGCAGTGAGGGAGGTTTAAGTTGGATATTAGGAAAACCTTTTTCACTAGGAGGGTGGTGAAGCACTGGAATGGGTTACCTAGGGAGGTGGTGGAATCTCCATCCTTACAGGTTTTTAAGGCCCGGCTTGACAAAGCCCTGGCTGGGATGATTTAGTTGGTGTTGGTGGGACTAGGCAATCACAATTGTCCCTCCTGGCCATGTAATGGATGAATCAATGCAAAGCTTCCCCATGGAGACAAGCCCTGGCCTAAACCTATTTGGAATTCAATGTAGAACTTGTCCGCACAGGAAGTAAATGAAGCATCCTTCTCTGTGAATGACCATAGTCATAAAGGGGTTTAATGTGCTTTAAATTCACACCTGCAGCTAATTGGATTTAATCCCCCCCCCCCCCAAGCCCTGAGTTAATTCAGTGCAATTTCTGTGTGTAGACCAGTTCCGTGCCTGTCTCTGTCTTGTTTAGGGCTGCCGTTGTGGTTGGACTAGTCCAGGAGGTTTAATCAGGTGACATAATCTTTACTGAATGATGACCCTTCAGGTCCTGGAGACTGCAGGGCAATGCTGGGGGCTTGACACCTCCGGCTCTGGTCCGTTTTGTTAGTTGCTGCCACCAGAGGGCCCACTGTTAAAAGAGGGGAAGCTGGACTCGTTTTCTTGCTCTCTGGCTCCGCTGAACTTCCTGGGTCAAGCTGTTGTTGCTGCTGCTTCCTTCCCTTGTTGTGACTGTGAGCCGGGAGCCCGGGTTGAGCCGCTGCTGCTCCCCAGCGGGGTGTGTGTGCAGGGAGAGCCCTTCCCTAGCGCCCCTCTGTGCCCAGCCGGGGGGACTTTCTCCGGGGGCTGGAACCAGCCCCTGGGGCAGCCCCGGGCTCTGCCGACACCAGCTGCTGAGCCGGAGCCTGCAGGTGAGGGGGGAGACCCGGGGGAAGGGCTGGGGAAGCTGCTCGATGAGAGAAATCCCAGGGAGGGGGGAGTCTTGGGGGTTCTGTGTGTTTAAAAATCTGCCCCCCTAGACAAGCCCAGAGGGGCCACTTGCGCTCTGCAGGGCTGGGGAAATCTCTCCAGTATTCCAGTGCGGATAGGGATGGGTTTGCTGTGTCAAACGTGTCAGGTCTAAAGTGACTTGGCCTGGTTGGGTTTGTATAAACGTTTCCACACCAACCCTCTTCCCTGTAACTAATGGGATAGATCCCTGGGAAGGCTCAGGGCCCTCCCTGTGCATTTGTCATCTGCGCAAAGTGACTCACGTGGTCTCTAGATGTCTGTGGGACAAGAGGCTCCTGGGCATTCCGCTGCTGCAGAAATATTTGTGCTTCCGAAATGTCTGTGTTTCTCTGAAGAGCCAAGGCAAGTGAGAGAGAGAGAGACAAGCTTTTGGGCTCACCGGAAGCTCTTCTTCTGGGTAGGGAATGAACTCGGGAGCATCACAGCTAAATACAAGGTGGAACGGATTGTTTCACGTAAGTAGTTAATGCCTATACAGATGTACACAGAACTACATATGCTAAACAGTTTGCTCCATCTAGGGTGACCAGAGCTCCTGATTTTATAGGGACAGTCCCAATATTTGGGGCTTTGTCTTATATAGGTGCCTATTACCCCTACCCCCCGCCCCGATTTGTCACCCTTGCTATCTGGTCACCCTAGCTCCATCTTGTATTTAGCTGTGACACTCTGAGGCTAGGTCTACACTACAGCGGACTTCCGACCTAAGATACGCAACTTCAGCTACGTGAATACCGTAGCTGAAGTTGCGTATTTTAGGTCGGCTTACCTGGCGGTGAAGACGCGGGAAAGTCGACCGCTGCCGCGCTGCCGCCGACTCCGCTACCGCCTCTTGTCGAGGTGGAGTTCCGGAGTCGACGGTAGAGCCATCAGGGATCGATTTTACCGCGTCCTCACGAGACGCGGTAAGTCGATCCCCGATAAACCGATTGCTACCCGCCGGATCGGCGGGTAGTGAAGACGTAGCCTGAGTAAGTTTCCCAGACCTGGAGCAGAGCTCTGGGTGAGCCCTGAAAGCTTGTCTCTCTCGCCAACAGAAGTTGGTCCAATAAAAGATATTCCCTCCCCCACCTTGTCTGTCTAGTATCCTGGGACCGACATGGCTACAACACCATTGTTTCTTTAACTAGGTCTCTATTTGACGCTCTCATGACATGTGATCTTTTTTTAAAAAAAAAAGAAAAAAAAAAAAAAGAAAGAAAAAATCTTTTTCTGGGAAGAGAGAGGGCTTTCAGATTTCATCCAAACGGGCCATAATGTGAGCACATCACCCTTCCCAACAGCATTTTATTAGTGTAAATAAATAGTTCTAATCAAGCCTTATTGTCCCTTTCTCAAACATGCTGCTTGGCCAAATCTTGCTGCCTTCAGCTGCAGAGCTATGTGTTTTGGAACTTTAACGATCTCTAGAAGAGATCTGGAATGTTTTTTGGGCATGGGAGTGGGGTGGATGCATATACATGTCAGTCTTATGTACTTTAAATTGCCTAAAAGATTGTACAGACAACTGTAGAACCAGTAGTCTTGTAACATGCAAGCGAGATAGTAAATGAAATCTGATTGAGTATACTTAGCACCCCACCCTCATGATATCTTAGTGACTTGACTGAAAGCGGAATCGATTTTGATTTTATTTATTTAGGAAAGTTAAACTGATTTGAAAACTGTTTCAACCCCAAGCACTCCATCAGACAGACCTATTTTCCTCCCCGATTCAACAACACTCTTCTCTACAATAAGAAGCTGGGGAAGTTCCTGATATACCTGGACATCACCCAGCCAGCCCCAGTATACCTGGGCATCGTTCAGCCCAGCTGCCCAGCAAAAACAGGAGAGAGGAGACACACCGATACTTCTAGAATTAAAAACAAGCAGATTTGGCTTGGGTTCTGATGTGCGGTGTGGGTGGGTATGAAAGGAAGAGAGATCCCATCAGGCCTTGCCTGTGCACCCTATAGAAACACAATAGAGCAGTTGTTCTTACCTATGTGGGGATCAAATATTTAATAATGGACTCTTCAGTCTAGCAGAGAAAGATATAAGATGATCCAATGGCTGGAAGTTGAAGCTAGACAAATTTAGACCCGAAAGGAGGTGTATATTTTTAACAGTAAGAATAATTAATCATTAGAACAACCATTGGTGATGGTGGATTCTCCGTCACTGACCGTTTTTAAATCCAGACTGGGTGTTTTATCTAAAAGCTCTGCTCTAGGAGTTATTTTGGAGGAGGTTCTCTGGCCTGTGTTACACAGGAGGTCAGACTAGATGATCCCTTCTGGCCTTGGAATTTGACTCTGATAAGCGGGACTGTTCATTGAAACATAACAAATTAAGGCCTCATAGCTTATGAAGTTAATTGAGACCGGTTTCCCTCTTTGCTCAAAAGAGAAGAGGCTGATCTGATGTGAGAAATACATGCCACAAAATTGCTACTGGATGAATGAGGACAACCGGAGGATGCAATTTCTGTAAGATTCCCCTTTCATCCTTCAAAAGCTGCCTCCCCATCTGTCCCTTGCCTTCGTCCAAGGCCGGCAGTTTCTCAAGGCTAAAAAAGCAGAAATTGCTGCAAGCAATCCCAGGCTGGAATTCACGCCTTCCTTGGGGTAGTGTTTTGAAAGAGAAGCAAAAGCCATGGGCATAATGGCAATGTTTCCAGCTGGGTTTAAAATATGAGCTTGGGGGGGGGGGGGGGGATGGGAAGGGGCAAAGAATGGGGGGGGGGACTCCAGGCTCCCAAACCTGCCCAGCTCCATTCACTGCGGCACCCCTTTGATTTGGCTCATTTCTAGCATTTGGTTCACAGGAACAGATACTGGGAGGTTTAAAGATGTCTCAGTCCTGGTAGGAGGGGCTGGGTCTGTGCTGTAATAAAGTGCCTATGGACTTTCCCAGCATTGCAGAGTCCGAACCTCTGTGTGCAGGAGACAAACGTGGGGGGAGTCAAGGTGTGAAGTGGACTAAAACGCCCTCTGACACCTCCCCAATCACCTCTCTCCCTGGCAGGCTGCAGAATAACGTCCGTCCAGTCCAGCCACGTCATCCCAGAAGCTAAATGGCTTTAGCACAGCGTATTCAGGTAGGAGATTTTCAGGGAGCTGCTGCAGGGTTTGCGCTGGACAGGGAGGGAGCAGGGCATACACAGGAGGAGGGAGTGGGAGGTGGGGATAGATTGTGACAAACCTGCTGGGACTCTAGAGAACAGGGGGAATTCCCCCATCTGTGGACCAAGAATCAAGCCGCGTGTCCAGGCACTGAAAAACGTATCGGACTCCTGCTAGCCACAGCCCTAAGCTTCCTAGCCAGAGGTTAATACAAAGAGGAAAGGGGGCAACCAACCCTTCTTCCCACGTTCAGCTGCTGGAATTCCTCCTGGGAAGCTGTCCACGGACTGTACTCATGGGCTCCATTTCCAGGATCTGTCTCTTATCTAGTAGCCACACGATGAGCTCTGAAGCAGTCTGCATGGGGATCTCTGCTATCCGATCCCTTTCTGAACTTCCAGTTCTGGGGCGTTTCCCCCTCCCCCCCCCCCCCAATGAATAACTCCCGTGCAGCTTCTGCTACTGCTCAGAGTTTCACAGTGGGCAGCGGCAACAGCAGAGAGTTTCTGATGCATTTCTCAAATGCCCACAGAGCTCTGAAGAGCAGCCTGGAATTGGCCAGCAGAGATTACTCTGGAGCTGCCTGTCGGCAGACTGGGAAAAGCAGCGCAGCAGCATGTGGGGGCCCAGGCCGAATCATTTCTTATCTTCCAGACTGGTTGGGAAGAGCATTCGTTTTCATGATATCCTGGCTCTCTGAAGCCCTGTTGCACCGATCAGAGCAGTGCCAGATGTTCCCATGTATGCCACGGTGGCTTGTGTGGGTCTTTGAGCAAGGTTTTAATTCCATTTTCATATCAATCTCTTGCTATCGTGTGTGTCTGTGTGGTGGGCCTGGTAAACTCCTGTACCACACGTAGATCTCTGCCGCTTGAGCTAAAGTAACTCCCTTAGCTTGTGAGGGCAGTAGCCTATTGCATTTTTGAGGGCCAGCTGCCAGAGGGGTGTATCTAATATATTGGCCCAGTGGGCTGCTATTAGCAGGCACAAATAGAAATCTGATCTATTGGACCAGTAGCGGGCACAGGCAGCAATTCAAATGATGCTAGTGAGTTTCTCAGGCTCTGCAGAACAGCTCTGAAACAAACGACATTCTCTTTAGCTTTCTGCTGCTACCAGGGAAGCTCTGAGCAGTGCCGAGGGGCCAAAGCCGGCTGTCTTGCCAGCGGAAACACGGCTGCGTCCGACCCCCCCCTCCCCCCTTCATAATCCTCATCTCAGCCGGACAGGCTGGGAGTTTCGCTTCCCTTTGAAATGAGAGCAGCACCTCTTGCTTGGCAGGGAAAGGGCTCTGCTCTCTGGGGCCGAGGGGGATTTTTCCAGCTCTGCCTGTGACTGAGCTGATGGGACTCTGGCTGGGGCAGCAGGTTGTGAGCAGGGGACTCTTGTTGATGCAGATGCCCATGACCTTTGAGGACGTGGCTGTGTATTTCACCAAGGAGGAATGGGCGCTGTTGGACCTGGGTCAGCGAGCCCTCTACAGGGACGTCATGCAGGAGAACTATGAGAACGTGACCTCACTGGGTAAGGATTCCTGTCTCCTAGGCATGTTGACATTTGAACTTTTGCATTGCCTGAATTGACCTCTGCTCACAGTTCTTCCCGGTCCCTTCGATTTCAGTGGGATCAGCCCCATAGCTCCCTTTCTACCTGGACTTCACATTCTCTAGGGCAGGACTGTGTTTGTCTGTGCAGTGCCTAGCACAAAGGGGCCCTGGACCTTGTGTGAAGTCTCTAGGTACTACAGCAATCCAAGTCATTAATAACAGAGGATTTAGCAGCTTATAATTATGGTGCACACTAACTCCCTGGCCTTCTCCGCACCTTGGCAGATTTTAATACTCTGTCTGACTCACCGGGTTCCCTACCTACTCCAATGTGCTTGCCCGACCTCTTCTTACCCCGGAACTGCTGTACTCAGTGACACCGCTGCTCAGTACCGGGTTTACCATGGTGCCAGTGGCGCTATGGCACCGGGCCCAGAGTCAGATGGGGGCCCCGGCCAGCCCGATCCCCCGGCCGGCTGAGCCGGCCAGGAAAGCTGCCCCCACCCCTGCTCCGCCCCACCTCTTCCCCAAAGCCCCTGCCCCTGCTCTGCCCCCACCCTGCCTCTTCTGACCCCTGCTCCACTGCAGCCCCACCCCTGCTCTGCCCCCACCCTGTCTCTTCCCACCCCTTCCCCTGAGCAACGTCCCGGGGGACTGCAGCAGGGGTTGGGCCTGCCCTGCACTCACTGGGTGGCGGAAAGTGGAGTGACCCGGCCCCAGCCCGTTCTGCTCGGCCGGCTTCCAGCCGCACTGCCGGTGAGTGCTGGGGAGCGGTTCCCCCCTATCTCCCAGCCCCAAGGCTGGGAGCCAGGGGAGCGGAGCGGGCTGGGGCCGGGTCGCTTCACTTCCTGCCGCCCCGTGAGTGCGGGGTCGGGCCCGCCCTGCAATCGCTGGGCGGCAGGAAGTGGAGCAACCCGGCCCCAGCCTGCTCCGCCGGCTTTTGCTGGGGGGCGGTTTCCCCCTTGCCCCCCAAGCCTGGGGAGGAGATGGAGCGGTGGGGAAGGGGCATGAGAAGGGGATGGGGGAAGCGGGGGCAGGGGGGAGAGGCAGGAGGGAAGGAAGGGGTGGGATGGGAAGGAGATGGAGTGGTGGGGAAGGGGCATAGGATGGGGAAGAGAAGAGGATAGGGGAAGCGGGGGCCCAGCATGCGGATCCCCTTGGCAGAAGCTGGGGCTCCCCTGTTAAGCCGGCCCATCAAACCCTCACCCTGACAAGCCCCACCTCCCCTGCATCTGTACCACCCCGATGAGCCCCCCCATACACCCTCCCCACTGAGCCCCAACCACCTACACCTGGACCCCCACCCAAATGAACCCCACCTCCTCTGCACCCAGACCTCCCCACCCCCATTGAGCTCCAACCACTTTCACTTGGTCCCCCCTGCAGACTCCCATTGCCCCTGCACCTGGAACCTCCCTGTGCATCCAGATCCCCCACTGAGCTGCCTGCACCCAGACTGCCCCACACTGAACCCTCTTACCCCCATGTGGATCCCCCCACACTAAGTCCCTTTGCACTTGGATCCTGCTGCCAGGCTGAGCCTCCCTGCTCACATCTGGTGTGCCTGGCACAAAAAGGACAGGGCCCCAGGGTGTTTCTGTGGCAGGAATGGCCCTTGTGCTGTGCCAGGTCAGGTGCAGCCTCACTGCCAAGTCCCTGTCCCAGGGTGGCGGGGGAGGCTGCAGGATATTCTCCCACCTCCATGCAGCCAGTGGCCTGTGCTCCCCACTGCCATGGTGGAGCTTCCACATATATATTTTTTTTCAATAAATAAAATTGCAGAATTTTAAAATATACACAGAATTTGATGCAGAATTCCCTCAGGAATATGGGGCACTGGACAGCTGTGATGGTGGGACTGTGAAGGGGGTGCTGGACAGTAGGGGATCTGTGGGTGGGGGAGCTGGGCAGGGGGTATGGTGTGCAGGGTGCTGTGCAGTTGTGGTGGGAGGTCAGCGGGAGGAGTCTCTGGGCAGGGGGTGCTGGGCATAGAGATCTGTGGGGGAGGTCTCCGGGCGAGGGGGCGCTGGACATAAGGGGAGGGCATTGGGCAGTGTGGAGGGGGCACGCTGGCAGTGCAGGGCTGGGCAGGCCAGTGTGCATCTAGCAGTTGTGGGTTTGTAAACAGTGCCCTTGTGCTGGGCTGAGTGGGGCCACTCCCGCTGCACTGCGCCTCATTGCCCCCAACCGGCCCCTCCCTCTGCGGACCACCCCCCATCACATGCCCTATTTCCCCAATGGGGGCCCACAAATATGTTTGGCGCCAGGCCCACAAAAAGCTAATCCGGCCCTGCTGCTGCTCCTTCCCACTGCTCCTTCCCGCTGCTCCCTCCCACCCCTTACCACACTGAATCCCGCTCACTTGTGCGCACTGGTCCCAGCTTCCCTCTGACTCTCCCCGGGGCCCTCATTGTCCTCGAGAAGGGGATCGTGGGTGGAATCTCTTCTCTCTGGGACACACAGCTGCCCTCTCTTGTCTTTTAGGGACCTCTCTGAGGAGTCTCTCGCTGGCATTATTCACAGCAAATAGTCAGTCTTGGGACCAGCCTATCACCCTCCCCGTGCCATAGAGCCACGACTGCAGGCCGAGAGGGACCCTTTGGTACAAGAGATGGGGCTGGCAGCCAGGCATGCTCTGTTAGAGCCCTGCACCCTTTCAATTCGGGTCCCCCATTAATTGTTCATGGCTCAGAATAATTGCAATAACCAATCATGGTTTGCAGCAGCCCAAAAGTCTGTTCATTACGCTTCCCCAGCCCATATGGAGATGGGGGAAGGCTGGGTAGCAACCGAGGGAGACCCTAGAGGGGATTCCAGGTTGGCGGGGTAGTAAAAAGGAACCCCTCTGAATATTTGACTGTGTTCATTAGTAGTGTCCTGCGGCTTTGAAAAGATGGCTCTGGAATTATACTGTTTTGACTGGGCTAGAACGTTACATTTCAAACTTTGTTACCCAAATATGTAATTCACCCTCCTCTTACAAGGTTAATTTTCCCTGGAGCAGGATTTCTGATGTCCAGACCGGACTTGATCTGTCAGCTGGAACAAGGGGAAGAGACGTGGGTCCCAGATCTCCAGGGCTCGGAGGAAAGGGGGATCCGGAGAGGTGCCTGCACAGGTGAGGATTTGGTTCAACTGATGTGTAAATCGTCCACCTGTGAAGGAAACAGCTGGGATTCCCATGTAGGCCCTCTGAACTCCCCCAGTTTTGCTTCATTATCAACCAGATCAGGAGGATAGCCAGCAAGTCCTCAGCTGTCATTCCCACCCATTCTAACTGACACCTTGCAGTAGCTCCTTCCCCTGGAGCATTCACATGGGATATGGAAGTGGAGTCGGTTCAGTCTTCCCGTTTAGGGGGATTTGGAACCTAATATTTCAATTTCCCCAACAGCTATTTTGGTTTGTTTCTGAGTTTGCTTTCCCCCGGCACAGGGACTGACTCTGGTCTGGATTCTCTCCCTATCTCAACAGGTGACAAGATCTTGTGTAAGAATGAGGGGGAGAATCCTCAGCAGGAAGGGCCCGCACAAGTGGAACCACACGGGATGGTATTGGGAGGATCCAGAGGAAATGTTCCTGCACAGGGAGAAGCTGGTGGGAGTCAGAATGGATCAAAGAGGCAGAAGGAAAAGGACTCAAGGAAGGGACAAAGTAAATCCACTTCCCAGGAGGGTGGTTCCAGAGACAGCAACAAAACCATGGTCCAGCAGACCGGAGAGATGCAGAAAATATGCATAGACTGTGGGAAAATCTTCAGTTGCATCTTGCACCTCATTAGACACCAGAGAACCCACACAGGTGAGAGGCCCTTTAAATGCCCCGACTGCGGGAAAGGCTTCGGTCGGAGCTCGCACCTGGTTGTACATGAGCGGATCCACACGGGAGAGAGACCATACAAGTGTGACGAATGCGAGAAAAGCTTCAATCAGAGCCCACACCTTATTAGACACCAGAAACTCCACCTGATGGAGAGACGCTGTAAATTACCTGCCTGGGGTGGAGTGAATGCCGCATTTCCCAGTTCCTTGAGTATCCAGCTGCCTATCGCTGGGATCAGGGGGCAGCTGCAGGTGCCTCCGGGCTGCTCGGTGAATCTCTGGCTCTGCCTCCTGTAGCAAACCGCAGGCAGAGGAGGAGAAGCCCTGATCAGTTTTTCCTCATTGCTGTGCTGCCAGGCCCCTCTCCCACTTGCCAGCCAGGTGGTGGTCAGGGAAAGAAGAACCCAACTCCCCTAGACACTCATCTCTGGGGACTCAAATCCCTTTCCACTAACCAATTCCTTGAGCTAAGCCACCTTTCTCAGGGCAGAGACCTGTCTCTGCACCATCCTCTGGGACTTGAGCTGGGCCTCCCCCGCTTACCGGCGTTCATGTGGGGTGGGTGCCCCAGAGGCCCTTCCCTTGCAGGCTTTCGGAGGAAACCAGGGAGATCAACTGTTCGGGGGACTAGGAGAGGAAGAATGGGCAGGGAACGGGTTGCTGGGAGTTTGAATCGGGTGATTGAATTAGCAAGTGATCAAGTGCTGAGATGGGATAACTCTGCACTAGTTGGCCAGAGCTCATTGCTGCAAAGAGGAACACCAGCTCGAAGGAAAGGAACAAGGTGTTGTGTGCCAGGATCACGGTTACTGTGTGCAATAATCTTCCCACCCGTGAGCCACCAGCAGCTCTGAGACCAGCACTTAGGCATTTTAGTCGGTCAGTGCAGAGTCGCAGCTCCAAAGAGTCGATTTCTGATGTTGGGTTAAAATGACCTCAGAGCACCCTGGGCTAAAAGGGTAACTCAAGAATGACAGCGCGGGGGGTTCCTCACTGGGAATCTTCGAGAGAAAGTAGAGACCAGTCATTTCCTATGTGTATTTGGGGTTTGCAACAAGCAGTGGGTGGTGGGAAAGGAATGTGTGGCTTATATTTATCTCTGGGGAAATCACTGGGGTATTTAACAGTAATTATGCCGATTCTTTGGAATGTCTAAAATTAGTGACTAGTATGGGTCACTGACAGTCCAGATCTTTGCCCTTCCCTGTGTCCTTCCCAAACGAGCAGAGTGGGGCTCAGTGAGGAGTCCTGCTGTGATGCCACTCTGCTCACTGGGGAATGGGATTGATTCTTTGATGCCCGTTGCCCATTTCAGGTGCCCTCTGCGCTAGTTACTTCCTCTCCCAGAACTCTCTTTCTGTTGCACTTTTTTATTTCTATTTCGGTAAATAAAACCTGCACCTACAGATGCTGTCTGGAATCCTCTGTGGTTTTTTTTTCCACTGGGAGACCCTTCCACTCACGCTGATTTGAGAGAGGGGCCTGGGCCACTGCGACATCACCTCGGGGATGCACACACAGCTCCTCTCTGCCTTTCTACCTCATGTGCTGCGGGTGCTTGCCTGGGAATCTCAGCAGCCGGCCTTCCCTCCCAGCCCTGGGGCTCAAACACTTCTCCTCCACTGCAGCCTTCTTCCTCTCCCCTGTGGTTTTTCTCCCCCACCTCAGATCCCAGCTCCTGGGCCTCTCCTTGGAAGCCTGACCTGTACCTCTGCTGTCATTTCCAGTTGCTCCCTTTTTGCTTGGCCTGAGCCCACCTTGCACTGTAGTGCCAGCAGGAGCAAACAGTGCAGAGCCCGGCAGGTGGTTACCATAAAGATAACCCAGCAGGGATCCGGACCTCTGAGGTCCCCCTGCTGAAAAGGTCATGACTGTACACTCTGCATGGACTTGTGCATGGGGACCACAACTAGGACACAAGGCAGCAGCTGGTACATTATTCCTGCACCCCAGCAATGGCCCTGGCTAGGAGCTGAGTCCTGGGGCAATTCAAGTGACTGGGGTTAATCTCTAAGGCCCTGAGTGGTTTGGGTCCTGCTTTCCTCAGAGCTCTTTCTTTCTCCACGTGCCATTGCACCAGCTGAGACAACGGAGCTCACGTCTACTGGGTGTACCCAGGAGGGGGACTCGCTGCAGGGTCATGCTCCTCCCTGGAGGGCTCTGATTCTGGAATTTGCTTCTTGCAGCCCAACAGAGTCACTGTCCCTGCCTGTTAGGTTCTGTGCCAGGCCCGTGTGGTCTCCCCAGCGGCCGGGCAGCGAGGGTGTTGAGGGGGCGCTGATCAGCTCTGATGGGAGGTCATGCAGCACTCGCAGAGGGTGAATGGTTCGTGCTTTTAAGTGGAACCCATGCAGCTGGGCTGACAGAATGGGTCCATTCTTACAGAAACCCAGCTACCTACAGAGTCAATCTCCCCTTTAAGAACCTGCGTGGTTGAGCCTCTGAGAGACCTGCACTGACCGGCCTGTCAGCCTGGGATGCAGTCGCTGTGGGCTAGATACCCACAGGGTCTTGGGTACTGTGACACTGGGCATCACCGCACTGAACTTCTAGGCACCTAGAAAATCACCGGGATGCACAAAGGCTGAGTTAGGTGCTCAGGGCTCCCCCCAGAATGGGCTTCACAAAAGCTGGCCTGCTAGTTGGCTCCCTGCCTTAGCTATGTAACAGGAGATGTCCAGGAGATGGGCAAGTCCTAAACCCTCCCCCCGCCCCCCCCAGGGAGTTCAGCACCTACATGCGAGCTGGAGGGAGGCAGCTGTCTGTGCTAGGGTTTCTCAGCTTGTAAACCCGCTTGTGGAGAAAAAAGCTCTCTTGTAACGTTCAGCCTGGTGGTTGGTTCACTCCTCTGGGATGTGGGAACCCTCCCGTCTGGTGAGGAGAAGGGATTTGAACAGGGATCTGCTACAGCTCAGGCGAGTGCTGTAATCACTGAGCTGTGGAGTAGTCTGGGCAATGTAATTTAAAGAGTTGGGGTTTTTTAATAGGCCATTTTATTTATTTATTGTACATTCCTGCTATAATCATCACCCCCCAGAAACCAGATCCCCTCGATGAGTCTGGCTAAGAAGGCACTTTACATGACTTGTATAAAAGTGATGTTTATTTTAAAATGTGAGTTCTTCACTCTAACACGAATCCAATACGAAATGTGCAGTAGAAAGATAAAAAGGTATCTCAGCTAGGGCCCAAGGCAGAGCCCAATGGGGACTTAGATCAGCCCCTTAACACCCATCAAATAAATGCCTGGTTGGAGAGGTTGGAATTTAAAAAAATGAGTTCTCCCTGGGGTGTGGCCTTTAAACACTTTAGAGGGTAAAAGAGAGTTCTAACTATGGAGCCCATTTGCTGGGGTTGATGACGAGCACTTTACTGGTATGCTCTACCAACAAAGCACTCCCAGTGTAGACGCAGCTACCCCGGCAAAGCTGTGCTTTGTACCAGGAGAGTAAAAATTTTACCAGGAGAGTAAAAATCTCCTGCCACAAGCAAAACAAGATATATTGGTAAAACTGAGCTTTCACTCCATCTAGAGTGACGGGTTTTGCTACCACAATTCTGTTGGTCAGGGATCACACCTCTTCGCGCCCCTGACTGATGCAGCTAGGCCGCCAGAAGCTAGTAGTGTGGACCAGGCCGATGTCTGTGTTTTAAAACTGAACTTTGCAATCCTTCTTAATACCACAGGAAAAGCTGACTGGCTTGACGTTTGGTAGGAGGGTCAACACTCTCGGTAGATTCTGCTGTTTTCTAAGCTGCAAAAATCTTTTCAGAGAGATGCCACATGCCAGCGGGTAGTGCTGGTTTCTGTTCCCAGCTCTGTCACCGACCTGGTGATCTTTGGCACGTCACTTTCCCCCTCAGCCTCTGTTGTCCCTCCCATCTCGTGTCTGTCTTATCTATTTTGATTGTACACTCACTGGGGCAGGAACTGCCTCTTCCTCTGTGTTCATACAGTGGAGTTGCACTACAGATGCCTGCTCTAAGTTGGAGCCTCTAGCTCAGGGGGTCGCAAGGTTATGTGGGGGGTCATGAGCTGTCAGCCTCCACCCCCAAACCCCGCTTTGCCTCCAGCATTTATAATAGTGATAAATATAAAAAAAAGTGTTTTCAATTTATAAGGGGGGTTGCACTCAGAGACTTGCTGCGTAAAAGGGGTCACCAATGCAAAAGTTTGAGAACCGCTGCTCTAGCTGCTACTTTAATACCAATAGATCTTTTCACACTTTTTGCATGCAGCTTGGGGAAATCATTGGGGGAGGGATTCAATCTCTGAAAACATACAATGTTTTCTTACTCAAAGGCGGGTGAGTTCTCTGTACGTCTCCACGACTAACCCTCTTCTGTTTCCCTATGGTGAGCAAATGTGACGCAAACTAGTGAGGAGAGTTTAAAAGGTTTACAAAACACTCTGATGGACTTCTGAGGATTTTTCTGAAAACCCCAATACGCACCACCATACTCAGGGAAGTTTACTATATAATTTTTGCTCCATTTAAATGTTCAAAGTAGAATATTTTATTTAAACTGCCAGATCCTGCCATTTCCTATAGAGCATAGTGTCACGGGTTATATAAGGAATGGGGGGGAGGGGGGGAAGAGAAAGAATTAACAGCCCTGAATATGTACCTAGCATCGTGGATGGACTTGTACTTTGAATGGCAATGCCCTCCTGCCACTCGTGCTACTGCAGTTACGCTGCTATTTTTAGTATGCTGGTTCAATCAGAGCTGGCGCAGGTATGGCTCCTTCACCTGGGAATCACAGCCCCCGCTCAATGTGTAGACATACTCATTGCGCTTTGGGATTCATTTGATTGATCTCTAGAGCCCTGTGGAGGTACAAAATTTATATATGTGGATGTGGATATCTGTGGATATAAATCGGTATCCGCAGAGCTGCAGGGCTCTACTGGGAAATGCAGGGGCAAAAGCAACAGCATGTCGGGTCGTCGCTCCCAGGATCCAGCGATCTGCGCCAGCAGCTCCTCTGGTGTGGCTGCACTGCCCCCAGCCCCGCCCACTGGGGCTCCGTGACCAGGGACAGCTGCTGATGACCCTGGTGCCTACCTGAGTGGGTGGGGTTGGGGG